TTTTGGCTGTGATAATATAGTATTATATAATTATATTCTATTAATAATGTATTATTATTAATTATCATAAAATCAACTATTTTCAATTATTATCAATTATAATATATATTACATTTATTTATTTATTTATTTAGATTATTTATTTCACACACAGTATATATATTTTTTTTAGTATATAGTGTGAATATCTTGTTGTGTGATTATTATTCAGGGTTTATGTGTCCATTAGATGGTACAATCACAGCGCTGGCTTTGTCATTACCTGGAAGGAGCGACACCGACTAAGTTAGGACCCAGCCCCCGGAAGAGAGATTTTGGTCCTTCTTTTTCAAGGATGGATCTGTAGAGGTAAACAATGGTTGGGTTAGATAAAAATGGAAGCCGCAGTTGTTTATGGCACATAATGAGGTAAACTTCCAATCATTCAAAACGACTGATCTCAATAAAAAAAAAAAATTATAGTAAGAGGAACGGACACCACTGAGCCCCCTCTGGTGGGTGAAGCTCTTTGGGATGATGAATTTCATATATTTGCACCAGGTAAAACCTTTAAGGGTTACCCCCTCCTCACCACAATCCTGACGGAAACAATTTGTACGGCCGCCCCGAATATCACAGCCGCCTCCATTTTGGAAACCATGATTGTGGGTAATTAGCGGTGGCGTGCCATGCACCTATGTAACAGGAGGTACGGTGCTAGCAAAGCTGAATTGTTGTACAACAGACTTTTATTGATGTGTTGGGAGCTACGCCTCCACCTCCAGGAAGAGGAATATGACCTTTCAGATACTTTCTAGGTCTGCGTTACTGAACTCGGAACAAACAAGAATCAGCCCGTCTCTCTGATTCAGCAAAATCACACACACACACACACACACACACACACACACACACACTTCTTCCACACCTTCAAGGTGTATGCGGGGCAAGTTACAATATGGGAGAAGCAATGTACGAGCTGCAGGCTTCCTCGGATCCGGTCCGGGATGTACACAGCCATTTACAGCCAGTACAAAGCGGAAGGTGCGCGGTGACGAAAAGCGGTTTTAGTCAGTTTTCATATTCTGTATGAATGTGTTTCCAGCTGAAAGCAGATCCAATGCTAGTACAGGCCGGACTCTGCATGCAGGACCACAGATTTCCTGTACATCAGAGGCCAGAATCATGCAAAAAGAATGATACAAATGTGCAGCAACCAGTCTCAGGTTTAAAGGACAATTCCGCCTTTAGTGCCTGAACTCCAGCCACAGAAACTTTCATTGAAATATATCTCTCAATAGTCACAAAGGATATTAATCCACATTGTGTGCACCAAATGCCTTTACATTATAAATGTAGCAGTGATAGCATCACTGTGCTGTACAAAGCCTGTGCAGAGAGCAGGACTGTGGGAGGAGCCTAGTAGGCCCCACCTACTACAGGCTGCCTGCAGAAAACTAAAGGAGGGGGCAGAGACAAGACCAGTCACCCTGCACAAGGAGAGAGAGCAGCAGTGACTGGTCTTTATTACAGGAGGGGGCGGAGACCAGACCAGTCACCCTGCACAAGAAGAGAGAGCAGCAGTGACCGGTCTGTATTACAGGAGGAAGCGGAGACAAGACCAGTCACCCAGCACAAGGGGAGAGGGCAGCAGTGACTGGTCTTTATTACAGGAGGGGCGGAGACCAGACCAGTCACCCTTTCGCAAGGAGAGGGAGCAGCAGTCACCGGTCTTTATTACAAGAAGCTCCAAGTCTCACACTGGATTACTGCACAGATCTGGGAAACACATAACTCACCAAGATTCATGGGGGGTGGTGCTATTTAAAGGACAACGTCACTGAAGGTGTTTGAGGGGTTTTTTTTAAGCCCAACTCGAGCCCAAACTGTTAACGTTTGTAGAAAAGCGAGGGGTTAGAACCTCCGTCAGGTTGTTACAGCTGTCACTATTGATAAGATTTACTATCATATCCTGTCCATGTGTCACACAGAGCAGGACGTGACGAGATATCATTCAGATGGGAACACAGACAGCAAAAAACAAATCTATTTGGATGGTGACCTCCAAAGGATAGCGACCTCCAAAGGATGGGGACCTCTGTCAGGGTTTAATTGCCCTTTGTGTCTTCTAGCCCCGGTGACACCTATATTCTCTAATTTCCTGTCCTGGTGTCACGTGGACAGAAAATGAGGTCATTATCTCCCCAATGAAGAGACAGACTGTACTTGCTCTACTCAGTGACCCAAAAAGTATCAGAGTGAGAATGAGCCTCATTGGATCTGTGATCTGGAAGACTTTGCTGAGAACTTACTTGAGGACTTGAAGAACGGTCGGGGAGACGGAAGTGGTTGGTCGTACGACTCCTCCTCCGCTGAGCGTCCCCAGCTGTACCTGAGGGTAGTAAACTGGCTGAAGGGCGATTCCCGAGGACTGTAACCGCGTCTTTATCACCTCCAGGGGACACGTGACGATGGCTCCGACCGTGCCAGCACACCTGGGGACACCAAACAAGACGGCAGGTTACTACATGAGAGGTAAATCACACCGCCCCCTGTACGCTCATCAACCTACATGAGAGGTAAATCACACCGCCCCCTGTACGCTCATCAACCTACATGAGAGGTAAATCACACCGCCCCCTGTACGCTCATCAACCTACATGAGAGGTAAATCACACCGCCCCACATACACTCATCAACCTGACAGGAGAAACAAGAGCTGTACTGAGGATCGGTGACAACCAGTCTAATTGTTACATATCAGCATGCAAAATGACAGTACTGTGCAGGATTCCTTTTATAGCTGAAGTTTAATCTGCTTATATTTTGCCTTCTCTGGTTTATCCCCTCCCCCTTCATCAAAATGCTAATTAAAATGTATAAATAAAATCATTCTGGAGGGGGCGGAGAAAAGACCAGTCACCCAGCACAAGGAGAGAGAGCAGCAGTGACCGGTCTTTATTACAGGAGGGGGCGGAGACAAGACCAGTCACCCTGTACGAGGAGAGAGAGAAGCAGTAACCGGTGTACAAGGAGAGTGAGCAGCAGTGAGCGGTCTTTATTACAGGAGGGGGCGGAGACAAGACCAGTCACCCTGTACGAGGAGAGAGAGAAGCAGTAACCGGTGTACAAGGAGAGTGAGCAGCAGTGAGCGGTCTTTATTACAGGAGGGGGCGGAGACAAGACCAGTCACCCTGTACAAGGAGAGAGAGCAGCAGTGAGCGGTCTTTATTACAGGAGGCTCCAAGTCTCACACTGGATTACTGCACAGATCTGGAGGAAATACACGAGTAGAATACACAGGACTCTGATATATGGATAATGTATGTTCAGCTCTGACCCGTGCTATAAAATGACGGTCCCCCGGCCTCTCCCTCAGTCCATGAATTGGTGAATATTTGCACACAGAATCGTTTTGGAAGTAAACAATGGCGTACGTCTCGATATGAGGAGGTCGGAATGCTCTGCAGAGAGATAATTCCAGGAGCCATAACAAGGGTGATAAGGAATCCGGAGGGACGAGGTCGCCAACATTGTTTACACGGCGCGGTGGGAAGAACGCGCACCGCAGCCTGCCAAGCGGATGAATGAGAAATAAAATTTGGGGACGAAATGTTTTGGAAGAAGCGCCCCCGTCGTGTCAGCCGTTCCTCTGGGAAAGACGCCGCGCGCTCTCCTTATTAATAATAAACCAAACACCGGCTCGTAATACAAGATAAACTGATCATAGGGATGGATGCAGGGGGTGGAGCCTATTGTCCAGGAACGGTAAAGACACTGAATTACATTGAAAGCAGATAAAATGTATTCAATTCAAAATAAAGTGTTTTTACATTTCAGCTATTAGAAGTACCCAAGTTATGTCTTCATTTTAGCTTCCTGTAACCCCCTCATACTGGGAGCAGAGGTCCAGCACTGGGGGCCGGGGTCCAGCACTGCTGAAACTATAAATCCCATGATGCATCTGTCTCTGGGTGTTATCCTTGTGGCTGTGGGAATCTTGCAATGCCTCATGGGATTGGTAGTAACCACAGCTGGAGCGCCGGAGTTTGGTTACCCCTGCCCTATAGGGACACACAGCACCAATATATCCTACAGTCTTACAGCCAGAATAAAGAAATCATGCTTTTCTTCTCTGTGCTTAGTTTCCAGCCCCCACTTATTCCCCTCCGGCACATATGCCCAGTCCACTACAAATCCCATCATGTCTCTGCCTCTGGGAGTCATGCCTGTGGCCGTCAATGTGGCTGTCTTGCAATGCCTCATGGGACTTGTAGTTTCAGCACAGCTGGAGTGCCGAAGTTGCCCACCCCTGTGATGGAAGCTGTCCTAATCCCTTAAATTGTTGTGTTTTGTCCTCACTTTCAAAGAAAGATCATTTTTCACCTGTGGAGAATGTCACGGCTTCTAACGCCAGCGAGCCTGCCAAGAGTACGCGAGTGACGGGAACACCACCACCCAATGTCAACAACAATCTATGATGTTATGAGGCAACCACCATTAGGCACATAAAAGGCCTAAATCTTCAGAGTTACCTCTTAATCCAGGGCTACCTATCATGTAGGGCTCTCACCCAGGGCTACCCCTCACCCAGGGCTACACCTCACCCAGGGCTACCCCCCATATAGGGCTACCTCTCATATAGGGCTACCCCCCATATAGGGCTACCCCCCATATAGGGCTACCCCCCATATAGGGCTACCTATCATGTAGGGCTCTCACCCAGGGCTACCCCTCACCCAGGGCTACACCTCACCCAGGGCTACCCCCCATATAGGGCTACCCCCCATATAGGGCTACCTCTCATATAGGGCTACCCCTCATATAGGGCTACCCCCCATATAGGGCTACCCCCCATATAGGGCTACACCTCATATAGGGCTACCTATCATGTAGGGCTCTCACCCAGGGCTACCCCTCACCCAGGGCTACACCTCACCCAGGGCTACCCCCCATATAGGGCTACCCCCCATATAGGGCTACCTCTCATATAGGGCTACCCCTCATATAGGGCTACCCCCCATATAGGGCTACCCCCCATATAGGGCTACCCCTCATATAGGGCTACCCCTCATATAGGGCTACCCCTCATATAGGGCTACCTCTCATATAGGGCTACCTCTCATAGGGTGTTACTTTTATATGTAACGTTCCTTTTTTTTTTTATATATAGGGCGATTGGAGTTTTTATTTCCAGGATGTTTTCACTTGGCAATGATATAGTTAATGGAGAGATGTTCCATGATCATCACCCGCGTTTCTATATTTGCAAGTGAAATGGCCGGCAGAGGCCGTCAGGCCTGGCAGCTTTCTCTAGAATGATTCCGTCACCCGGGACACCGCTCGGCATCAACAGAATTTCCTGGCTGGGGCCCCGAGCTCCCAATGTGACCGCGTGCTGTGCAAACAAAACCCCCGGCCTGGCTCAGCGTGTTCCCAACTCTGCAAAAAAGTGCTGTGCACAGGGCTCTGCCAAGGCGTCTCTAGGGCCCGTCTGGTGCTGCGCTGGACAGGACGGTGATAACACCACATAACAAGTAGCAGACATCTCAACGTGGTCTGTCCCTTCTACACTCTGTTTTAAAGTGCACGTGTCCTTTCTAAATCTTCCTCCATTCAAAGTGCAGTGATCCCACTGATCCCCTTTACCCCAACCCACCCTCCACAGATGCATACATACCTCAATCCCATGGCCGTGGTCTCCGGTGCTGGTTGACCAGCTCATCTCTGTCACTCTGAGAAAGCAGAACCAGCGCTGCATGTCTGGCTGTCCTGGCCGCATCTGCGCATTACAGCCCCATAGACTTCTATAGGACAGTGTCCTGAGGCCTGCGGGGAAACAGCCCCATACAAGCCTACGAGGCTATAATGCACAGGCATGGCCAGGATGTAAACAAGCGCCGGCGGCCTCGGCCATCAGATCTAAGAACGTATGCGTGCATGTGCATTAAGTTAGGTCACGGTAAAGGGGTAAAACGCTGAGTGCACTTTGCTCTAAAGCTGAACTTTGGGCACACAAAAAAAAAAGTTTCATTTAAATATATTCCTCAATAGCCACAAAATGCCTTTGCAAGGCCAAATATTACCCTGTAAAAGTAGCATTGACCTGATCACTGTGCTGTACATAAACAATGCAGAGAGCGCAGCTGAGAGAGGGACCCAGCAGGCCCCAAGCAGTTCAGGAAACTACAGTGGGGGGGGCGGAGACAAGACCAGTCACCCTGCACAAGGAGAGAGGGCAGCAGTGTGCGGTCTTTATTACAGGAGGGGGCGGGGACAAGACTGGTCACCCTGCACAAGGAGAGAGGGCAGCAGTGAGCGGTCTTTATTACTGGAGGGGGCGGGGACAAGACCAGTCACTCCGCAACAGGAGAGAGAGCAGGAGAGTCACCCTGCACAAGGAGAGATCAGCAATGACCGGTCTTTATTACTGGAGGGGGCAGGGACAAGACTGGTCACCCTGCACAAGGAGAGAGGGCAGCAGTGACCAGTCTTTTTTTAAAGGAGGGGGTGGAGACAAGACCAGTCACTCTGCTCAAGGAGAGAGGGCAGTAGTGACCGGTCTTTAATACAGGAAGCTCCTGCACATTTATAAAAAAAAAAATTTGATAAAAATTAAATATATATATAATATTTTTGTTTAATTCTATATATATACATGTATACCTCTGTCTCCTGCATATAGGGTTGTCACTTGGCTGTAATTTTAGTAGCCTGGCCGATATTATTAGGGAAGACATTGGAGACAGGGATTTTTTTTCCTCAGAGAAGATGGCGGCCTTTCTAAGAATGGTGACTCAGTGAGGTGTGGAGTCGTCTCCTCTTCCAGGTAAACATCCGGGTGCATTTCCCAGAAACATAGGATTTGCATGTCAGTTTTTTACCTCATAATTAAATATTAGCAGCATCCTGTTTCTGGAACAGCTAGGAGCACTTCTCTGACTGCTCAGGGACTACAACTCCCAGCGTGGGCAACCGCAGGCCTCAGGTTGCTTAGCAAGATGATTGTATTGGTTTCACATGCAGGACGGCGTGTGACCGGCAGCAATGTGGATCGTTTGGAAAGTCAGGCCGTTTCTGATCACATGACTCTGGGCAGACGTCTCCCTGACCTACCCTCAGTGGGCCACGGTGGTATTAATATCTCCGGTCACGCTGCCGGTGACCTTATTACACAGAACAACAAATAAGCCTGGCAGGCCCAATCCTCTTTACACTCGGGATAATAGATATTTCATTGGGAAGGAACAAAAGTCGGCGGGTGCCGCGGCCTAATTAGCCGCAAAAGGCAATATACTGCAAATTCTACAGACAGACAGGCCACAGACTGAGTGGGGGGGGATGGGGGGTTAAAAGGAAATCTAAAACTTTACTTACAGAAAAAGACAAAAAAAAACAAAATGTCTGATTTCCCTTCAGTTCCCGTCCCAGAGACAACAGGAAGTGAGAGGAAATCCCATTTTAGTTGTCACGGTAACAGGTAGAACATTTCCCCTCTAATCCTGTTCCTGTGACAACTAAAAATTTAGATTTTCTCATCACTTTTTGTGCCAATGACGATTGTGCCAATGACCGGACTGCGGTTTTAACAAGGAATTAAACAACGGTGTAACCCATGGCAACTAGATGTTAATCAACATGCAGCCAAATGCTGATCGGTTGCCATCAGTTAGCAAACAATGTAAGATTACAAGCCATTGCATTAAGCCACATGTGTCAAACTCATGGCCCAGGGGCCGAATCCGGCCCACCAGGCCATTTCCTAGACTTCTACTTTCAGATCTAGGTATTACGTTATTACTAAAACCAGTGATAATCAAATGCAATTATGATAAAGATTAGATACATTTATATAGTCTTACAGGCCCTTTGATGGCTTACATTGTTTGGCAACTGATGGCAACCGATCAGCATTTGGCTGCATGTTGATTAACATCTAGTTGCCATGGGTTACGCCGTTGTTTAATGCCTTGTTAAAACCGCAGTCCGGTTTTTATGGGTGTTTATGCCCCCGCGGGGCAATTCACACTCCACGGTTGCCCTGGTGACCATCGTCATTGGCACAAAAAGTGATGAGAAAAATCAAAATTTTGAGTTGTCACAGGAACAGGATTAGAGGGGAAATGATGCGGCCCTCGATTAAATTGAGTTCGACACCCCTGCATTAAGCAATGGTGTAACCCATAGCAACCAGATATTAGCAACCAGTCAGCATTTGCCTGCATGTTGATTACCAAACACTGTACGATTACAATCCGGTGCATTAAGCCACGGTGTAACCCATGGCAACCAGCTATCAACATGCAGGCAAATGCTGACCGGCTGCCATCAGTTACTGAACAATTTAAGATCACACCAGTGGCCGTTGACTATGTGACCGCACAGTATTCACTACCGGGACCTGTGCAGGCCCTTCCTCCCTCCATGACACCCGGTGAAAGCCATTTGTTACAGATGGATGAATATTCCCATCTCCTGCACTAGGACTCCCTTTCCTCCATTCATGAAACCTTTCCCCTGTCCAAGTACACACAAAGCTCCCGCTGCAGGGACATGATGAAACATTGCACCAGCCGGCTGCAGGCACAATGTACACAATGGAACTGTTCATGAAGGTGACCAGGTTTATATTTTATATATGGGGAACTCTGTCACCCGTATGGAGGTGATAAGTCACGTCACCGAGGAGCTAATCTACCAAAATGTGCATTCCCTTGTTGTCCATAGCGACCAATCACAGCTCAGCATATGAATCGCCTAGGTGTGAACCTGGCCTTAAGTAGGGGGGGGGGGGGGGGCTTTTTGGAGTGAGGGGGGGTTTGGGGAACTCTGTCACCCGTATGGAGGTGATAAGTCACGTCACCGAGGAGCTAATCTACCAAAATGTGCATTCCCTTGTTGTCCATAGCGACCAATCACAGCTCAGCATATGAATCGCCTAGGTGTGAACCTGGCCTTAAGTAGGGGGGGGGGGAGTGCATTTTGGGAGGTAGGGGGGCTGCGATGTGACCGTGTTTCATGTCACACCCGCTGTGTAACATCTGGAGCAGATGTGCACAGCAACCAATCAGCTTCTCTCTCTCATTTTCAACTCTTACCTGAACAGACTGAAGAGAGAAGCCGATTGGTTGCCAGGGGCAACTGCTCCAGATTAAATCAATTCCTCCCCCCATATGCGTTTTACATCAGCAGCTATTGATACAAACTAACCCTATACATAAAGATGGCGTCCACCTCACAGGAACCATTTCCCACTTTTAGTTTTACATCATAGACATTGTTTCTATTGAATCATATGGTGGTATGGCTGGGATCGAGGTATAGACAACCAACCAGTCTGGCAAGTCACCAGGCAATGTATTCAAATGAGCCGAGGCCTAAAATAAACCCGAAAACGCGAGGTCTGGTTGTTGATTAAGAAGAGGTAACTCGCGGGCAAAAAATGACAGACGTCAAATTCCTCTCTCGTATATACGTTGGAGGTTACCAAACGGGAAATGTGAAGCACTGCGCAGTGACTGTGCTATGCTGCTCCTCAAATCAGTGCAAGTCTATGACATGGGTCTGACCTGATCGCAAAACAGACCCTGTACACAGTGGCGTCACAAGGGGGGTGCGGCTGGCACCCGGGTGCCACCATTGGAGGGGTGACCCCAAAATGACTGACAGTCATTTTGGGGTCACCCCCTCTGAAAAGTCGGGCACACGGTCATGCACACTCAACCCGCGGGGGGAACGTCCCCTCCTCTCTCTCTGCCGGCGGCCATCACTAACATGGCCGCCGGCAGGCGTCAATATGATGACTGCGCATGGGCGATAACGTCACCCGGCCTCGGGACGCCCCTGCCTGCACAGTCAATTGAGCAAACCTCTATAGTACTTACAGCTGAAGTCCCCGTTCACATCTGAGCTCTGTGACAACGAGAGAGGGGAGAGAGGAGAGAGGAGAGAGGGGAGAGAGAGAGAGGAGAGAGAGAGAGGAGAGAGAGAGAGGAGAGA